TCATCCAATGAATGGCGTATTTGGAGCAATTCATTTACTTCGAGGTATCTGTAACATACAACCGGCTTATGTAGATACGATGTGTTTGAATTCGTTCATCAAAGCTCTCCAGAAACTCGTACGTGAACATATCTCCATAACAACCGAAAGCAAAGGTTCGTTTGTTTTTTCTTCTTTTAGTTCATATACGTTTTTTGAGTATTTTTCAAAAGTTTCGCTTTTTCCCATGGATATTTTGATCGGCGTGGGGCAGCTAGGCCTACTACGATTCCTTCATTCATTTCATTGATTTCGTTGGTATTGGCATATGCCAGGGAATCAGCCAACCCTCATTTTGATTGTAAATAGCCTACAAAACGAATGAACGAATCCTGTGGTTACTACTGGCATTTAGTGTTAGAAAAAGCCTTGCTAACCGGCAAGTCATTATTGACATTTGGTCCAATCGTGGTACTGAAATGGAACGTATACGACTCTCAGTAGTCTGAAATATTCCCTTTCAGTTATATTAAATATTAACTAATTATTTTTGAAATAGATATTTTTTTGAACCTTTTTTTTGAAATTTTTTTTGGACCTCTTTTTACATATAATATTCTTCCTTTTTGTAAAATTGGTTTTCCATCTGCTATTTACAAAAAATCACGCTTCGGTACTACCAGGATTACTTACGAACTCCCTGCTTCTCTAGTTGAAAGTGAAGACGAGGAAGGTTTTGACTTTTTTGCTTCATTCGATTTTTTCGATGGCATCGACGATGGCATCGAAGTAGGTGATCCGTATTTCGACACGTCAGGTACTGAATACTTAGATTTGTACGAATATGATCCTCATACATCGCCTCGCGCGATTTTCTTGGGTTCTGATTGGAGACTGAGGAAAAAAACGGTAGGCTTTAAGTAAACCTGGCGGAAAATCAGCCCTGGCGACTAATTCTGAACGGCAGTAGAAGCATTACCCAGCCAGTGTTTTGCGACCTTAAGCCCCTGGCTTAGACCATACTTCTTTTGCTGTTTGCACTGAATGGGACTGAATCCTAAGCGGAATTACAGGGCATGCAGTGACCGAACTCATAATCTATTCGCTGGAACTACTTCGACCACGTATTCATGCAATTGCACCGGAAGTTCGACTTAATTTCGGGCAAAATGTTCTCACTCCACTGATTGATAAAACTCAATCGGACCGAATACTCGAAGTTGTCGTTCGAATTGTCGATATTATGATGCGAACCAGTGAAGAGGTATAATTTTCACTCCTTGCTTGATCCACTTTGCTTTCAACCAGTCGACGTTATATTATCGTCACTAGGGACGACCATCTAGTGACTTTTTTTGAATATGTGCTGAGCAACAAAAATCAGAAGTCTGTCTGTGTTGTAAACGGAGCTTCTTTTCAAAAAAAGCTTATGGACTGGAAAGGAATCGAACCACTCC